ATAGATAGATAGATAGATAGATAGATAGATAGATAGATAGATAGATAGATAGATAGATAGATAGATAGATAGATAGATAGATAGATAGATAGATAGATAGATAGATAGATAGATAGATAGATAGATAGATAGATAGATAGATAGATAGATAGATAGATAGATAGATAGATAGATAGATAGATAGATAGATAGATAGATAGATAGATAGATAGATAGATAGATAGATAGATAGATAGATAGATAGATAGATAGATAGATAGATAGATAGATAGATAGATAGATAGATAGATAGATAGATAGATAGATAGATAGATAGATAGATAGATAGATAGATAGATAGATAGATAGATAGATAGATAGATAGATAGATAGATAGATAGATAGATAGATAGATAGATAGATAGATAGATAGATAGATAGATAGATAGATAGATAGATAGATAGATAGATAGATAGATAGATAGATAGATAGATAGATAGATAGATAGATAGATAGATAGATAGATAGATAGATAGATAGATAGATAGATAGATAGATAGATAGATAGATAGATAGATAGATAGATAGATAGATAGATAGATAGATAGATAGATAGATAGATAGATAGATAGATAGATAGATAGATAGATAGATAGATAGATAGATAGATAGATAGATAGATAGATAGATAGATAGATAGATAGATAGATAGATAGATAGATAGATAGATAGATAGATAGATAGATAGATAGATAGATAGATAGATAGATAGATAGATAGATAGATAGATAGATAGATAGATAGATAGATAGATAGATAGATAGATAGATAGATAGATAGATAGATAGATAGATAGATAGATAGATAGATAGATAGATAGATAGATAGATAGATAGATAGATAGATAGATAGATAGATAGATAGATAGATAGATAGATAGATAGATAGATAGATAGATAGATAGATAGATAGATAGATAGATAGATAGATAGATAGATAGATAGATAGATAGATAGATAGATAGATAGATAGATAGATAGATAGATAGATAGATAGATAGATAGATAGATAGATAGATAGATAGATAGATAGATAGATAGATAGATAGATAGATAGATAGATAGATAGATAGATAGATAGATAGATAGATAGATAGATAGATAGATAGATAGATAGATAGATAGATAGATAGATAGATAGATAGATAGATAGATAGATAGATAGATAGATAGATAGATAGATAGATAGATAGATATAGATATATCCACACCATCTCAGTTGTATGGAGAGAGAGAGACAGAGAGAAACAGAAACAAGGAGAGAGAGAGAGAGAGAGAGAGAGAGAGAGAGAGAGAGAGAGAGAGAGAGAGAGAGACAGAGAGACAGAGACAGAGAGACAGAGAGAGAGGAATGAAAGAGAGAAGGGGGTCATATAGAGAGGAAAACGAAGGAGAAGAAAGAAAGTAGGTGAGAAGAGGAGGAAGAGAGAAAGAGATTCACTCACAACATTACATAGGACTAGGACATCAGCAAAGGGAACTTGTATCCCCATTTTATTAAAGAATTCAGACACACCTTTCATATAAAGCTAACTTGGCTCACTAGATTACTAATAAAAAGAGGAAGTTATGATATGTATATGGAAAATTAACTTTTGTGTGTTGTAACAGTGTAAAGGGAAACTTTGATGATATTTAAATAAGTTTTTAGTTTTGAGATAATTCTCATTTATATCATTTTGTGATATTTACTCTGTGAAATCTGAAAACTGTAGCCATGTATCAAAAATAAAAACATTGTGATAAGCATTTGTTTCATCGGCTTCCTGATTTGCAATCATGTTATGTTAATTAGGCTATGTTTTCTGAAGCATCTCATAATAAGGGCAAATGCACTCTCTCTCTCTCTCTCTCTCTCTCTCTCTCTCTCTCTCTCTCTCTCTCTCTCTCTCTCTCTCTCTCTCTTCCTTTTTATCTTTTTATATAAAGGGTTCTGTTCTGTTGGTAAATATTCAGAACACCTTCACATGACTGATCACAATGATGCTGGTGTCCATGGATTGCACTCACCCACTATTACTTGTATGTGTAGGGCATTTGCTATATTCTTGGCCTCAATAGCTAGAGAGGGTATGAAAGGTACTAGAAGAAGTGTGATATAAGATATGAATGATATACATGAAATACGTCTCTTCACCCCCTCCCCCCTCCCTTTCGCCACCCTTGCCCAGAAAGACAAAGAATCCTCCGTGTATTCATGGCTAGATAATATAAGGCAAGTTACAACCTAATAATGATACTTAACCAACCTGATTAGCAGATGACAATGATATATAATCCCCCACATTCTAGTCAGTATAAAATGCTGACTGTATTACCGGCTAGTATGCTGCTACTCAGATTACATTCCAGTACCCATGTGATTTGCTATTGCTCCATCCTGCTGTACTTACAAGGGGTATTCTTTGTTGTCTCATATTATCAGTATATGATATATGGTCATAGTACAGTTACAGTACCT